GGGATAGTACGTATTTTAGACGAACCTCTACTACGATTTTCTATCAACTTTTTTGTTTTTGCTTTTTTTCATGAACAAAAATTTTTCCGACGGTTAGAAAATTGAATAAAAACACTTCGGAAATCATATTAAAAAAATCAGTAATATACAGTTCGATGCGTCTTCATCTCCTCTTTCCAACGGTGAAAACCGCAGTTCTCTATCTTGTTGCTATCAAACGTTATGCAAAAAGTACTCACGAGCATTCATGCTACCAGCACATATGCGAAAGAAACTGATCTTATCGAAATTTTATTATTATAATATTAGTTGAATATTGATCAATTAGCATAGAAAAATAGAGCGAAAGACGCTCTATGTGTTCATTAAAAGAGAAATGTTTTTGAAGCGCTCCTTAAGAAAATAAAGTACCTCCCTCACTACTTTTGGATTGCCCTAAGTATTTATTTTTAAGCTTCATCTTTGATATTTGGCGTAGTAACTCTAAAAAGAAAAGCTCAAACTTGTTTAACTGCACCACGGAGTTTTAAAATACAAGCTGCTCTCTTTTTTTAATTGTTTATAATGTGTATAAAAAAATTTGATATAATTTTATTAATGTTAAATAGTGAAGAATTTTATGCTTTACAAAATAGTTTACTTGAATTTAATTTATTTCAATTGCTAATGGCTTTATTAGCTAAACTTCCAAGTCACCAAAGTTTCTAGCACTAAAAAACATTTTGACTATATCAGTATAAAATCCAAAGTTCAAATTATTAATTTATAGACCAAAAAATGCAGAATTTTGCACTCTATTAGACTGTGTAATCTACAACGAAACCTGCTATTTTTTTACCTGAAAGACTAGGAAATACTAGATGTCGCTAAAATGGGTTCGAAAATAGGAGAAAATAATCTTTTCGAAGACTCTTTTTCGATCGGATTCCATCTAAAGGATCATTATTTCTCATTAAAAAGAACCATCATATAGTAGAAAATTTCTTACTAAATTTTTCGGTATACACCTTATTTTATTGAACAAATAATTTTTAGCGAGGTTTTGTGCAAAAATCCTGCTTTTTGAAAGTGCAGTTAAAAAATGTAGAGCCTTTCTTGTTAGAGTTACTGCGCCAAACATCAACGATAAATCTTAAAAACAAATATACAATCGTGTAGAGAACTAAATTCTCTATCGTTTAGCATATAAAGGAAATTTTGTTATAAATAGGAAGTGATAGAAAAATGCATTGACATTTAGTACAATTTATTCTGGGACACCTATTGGATTCTAGAAAATCGAGTTTACCAGAAACTTGGAAATTCGATTTCTATAAATAATTCCTAAGATTCTTGAAATTCGAAGCCGCATTCCAGTTCGATTTTCTAGAATTATGAAAAATGCTCTGCGATTTTCAATCTGGAAATTTCTCGACGATTTTATATGGGTTTTTAGAAATTCGATAAATGGAATTAATTTTCAGTTATATGGAATATTGCTGAAGATTTTTCAGTCTTTTATATAATTATATGATGTCGCGTTTAGATGTTTCCGTACTCCGAGAAGCAGAGACTTGAAACATTAAATGGCAAAAGAAAAAGCTTCTTTGAGACTGTGTAAATCTGACGGATCTTCAGGTTAAGAATGCTCTCAGATGTTGATGTCTATTATTTATCTTTTGGAAGGTGCTTTGCTTATTTACACATCGAAAACAGAAATAGAAGTTGTAACTATACAAAATCTGATTAATGTGACAAAAAATAAAAGATAAAAAGTAGCAAACAACAAAATAAAAAGTATTTTACCATTTTTAATCATTTTAATTTTATGTTTTTTTCATATACAATAAAAATGTATGTGTTGAAATAAGAAGAATGATGAGAAATAAAAAAGAAGGTTCATCTAACCACCATCAGTCAATTAGTTACTTGGAAAATGCTATAAATAATAAAAAAAAAGACAAAATTTGCATGACACATAACTTAGCGGTTCGGGAAAAAAGTGACACTGAGTTCCCTATGTTTCTATTCATGGAGAAATAATGTATTCTCAAAAGCAATTAACTAGCTTTTGTGATACAGCTCGTTTTTTCAAGGCGTGATTAAAGCTGGTATTTGCACTTTTTTTTATAAAACTATAGTTCATTACTTTTCCAAAAGCCCGTCTTTGGCACTTATTTTAAATTGGAACAGCAATGAATATACTCATTTTAAGACATTTAAATCGTTTTGAATGGTACAAAGACGACAAGATCAAACAGTGTCTGTTCATTTGGTGATTATTATTTAGATCTCACTCTAACATTACCTCGTGGACACTTAACAGATATTTTAACTTCTGTAGACTTTCCAGGTGATTCAACACGGTTCGTAAACGGCCGTAAAATTGATTTACGACGCCGTAATCCTATGCTCCGTAATACTGCCGCCGTAAACGAGTGTATTATGACCATAAACGGCCCCGTAAGAGATTGTTTACGGCTGCAATATTACCGAGCATAGGGTTACGTCAAGTTACGGCCATTTACAGCGTGTTACGTTACAGTATACGGTCGTCGTATATGGCCAACGTAACCAATGACCTGGGTTACTGATTCTAGAAAACGTTGTGAACCAAGTGACAAATTAAAATCTCTTGATACGGTGAACAAAATGACTCATTGCATTTTAGAAATTCGATGTGGAATTTCAAGAATCTTGGGAATTATTTATAGAAAATCGATTTCCTAGGATATTAGAAAATTAAACTCGAATTTCCAGTATATAGAAAATCGACGCCGAATTTTCATATTTTTGAAATTTTTGTATGCCGATTTTGTAGTAGTAGTAATAGGAAGTGACATTTCAACTTCGATTATCGGATGGTGTTCGTAATTTATTCAAAATAAAGTCGAAGTAAATGGCAGAGGATGGATATTGATATTTTTCATCCCAATTACTTTGTTTATTGAATTTGCATAAACTGAATATTAAAGAAAATGAAGTAGAAAAGAAAAGGCCGGTAAATAAATCGAGAAACAGAATAAGTTCTCCCTGTTAAAGCCAGCAACTTTCTAAATATATTATTTGCATAAATCGAACCTAGCAATGCAAAATAATAGTCGAGAAAGAATGTAATCTTCACGTCAATGTTTGTTCAATTGTACATCAGTGACTGTATAATACTTTCATCTGATGAGGAAACCATTCAAGATGATCAAGCCCATTTGAGCTCATATTTTGATGATGGCTAGCGTCGATGATTATAAGCTACAGTACAATACATTCGCGAACAGCTATTAGTAATTCTTTTTTACATTTATTTACTCAAGCTGTCATTGATGGAATTCCAAACAATGCTAAAGGTCCTGCAATACCTGCCAAAGGTTATCTTGTTCAACACATCCGTGGTGGTGTATACTGGTTAATTGGCGGAGCATATCAAACAATGTTCATGGTATCAAATGAAGGTGTAATAGCAATTGATGCTCCTCCTGCAATTGGCAAAAACTATCTCAAAGCTATATCGGAAGTAACCGACAAGGTAGTTACACATGTAGTGTATAGTCATGACCATTTAGATCACATTGGTAGCGCTGGAAATTTTCCAAAGGATGCCGTTTATGTTGCACACAGACTTGTTGCCAAAAGTCTATCCGTTGCGAAAGCTGCAGCACAAAATACTTCGTCACTACCAACTGTACCAAGCAGAACGTTTAGGAAGAAATTATTACTAATAGTAGGAAACCAGACCTTGCATTTGGACTATCATGGAATTAATCATTCACCTGGAAACACCTTTATATATGCCCCAAAACAAAAGGTACTTATGTTGTGTGATGTCGTATATCCTGGATGGTTTCCATTCGATGAATTGGCTTATGCAAGAGATATTGCAGGTTTTATCAAAGCTCATGATACTATCTTAACGTATGACTTTCAGACCTTTATCGGCGGACATGTTTCAAGATTAGGTACTAGAAGAGATGTTGAAGTTCAAAAAGATTATGTATCTGACCTACATAGTGCAGCTCACCAAGCACTCAATGGAACACGGTTAGCACACTCCAGTATAGACTCTTGGAAGGATAAAACTGAATTTCTCAAAGCAGCTGAACAATTTTGCTTAAAGATCATGCTTCGAAAGAACTGGACAAAAAAACTTGGTGGTAGTTCGATTTTACCATCAAATTGCCACAAGATGATTATGGCCACAAGAATTGAACCGTTGGTGGCGGTTACATAAAATGACCACTATGATATAAACTTTATTCTTTCAGAATACAAGCGGAAAAATATATTCCATTATAGTATTCTAAACTAAAACTATCGAAAAACACAAAATCAATTTTGTACGAATAAAGATTCGAACACATGAACTTAGCTTTGCAGTAAACTACCATTATCTATTTCAAATTCCAGTATTATCACATGTTTTTTTAATAATTTCCGATCGGAATGAGATCGTGGCCTGCAACTTGCAGTGATCGATAATCAACACGTTAACCAGCTTTTTATAACAAAATAAAATTTCAAAAACTTTTCGCAAGCACTGTTTCTAAATGATTTTCTTAGGAGGAAAGCAAGCATTGCCTAAACTTTATATTGCCATACAGTAATTTTTTCAAACTGATAGTTTTAAGTACATTTCACAGACAACTCTGTCGTAGTACGGTAATGGAATATAAACGTTTGAAAAGCACGACGTTTTTTTCACAAGACATCCATATGTTTCTTATGTTATATTCTGTTCTAGTAGCTGTTGATCTCTTTTCATTTGCGACAAAGCAGCTGAAAGTAAAAGAAAACATTGAATTTCTCTTTACTATGGGTTGACATGGAAAGCGCTCCGAACTCAATTTCGACGGTCTATTTATGTCAACATTAGAATGCTTTTATAATCAAATCTGTTTGGCAACCATTCTGTCGTATTTCTCATCGATAGTGTCGAATTAGACGCTGACAACGCTACAATGGTTTTCATCAGATCGATATCCAGTGAACTCAACAATAGAAACTATACTTGAACAGACGACAATTGATAAATGGAACTCTAGGACATTGCATGATTTGTATTATGAGTAATGCGCAGTCGTTTACTGCACATACGTATATCTCGAACCAGCGTTTTCGATATAACTTTGGCAAGGTGGGGGAAATTTTACGGAGCAACTCTAGAAATTTAGCTGATAACCAAAAAAGGCTTTTAACTTTTCGGAGTAATTTTTGTTTTAGTAGAGTAAATTTTTTCAAACAAGGATTCCCCCACCTAATCGAAAACGCTGTCTCGAATGATACGATATAGTGTATCATTAATGATCAAAATCGTTGGTATCTGTAAAGGTAGTTCTCACGCCATTGTTAACCCTAATTGGACGAAAAATCAAAGAACACATATCGAATGATCCATCTACAAATGGCAGTAGGTTCTTTCAGACAGTTTTAGTTTTCTGACTCAAACCACCGTCTTTCGAGATTTAGCTAGAGTCATTTTATGCATTTCATCGGAGAGTAGTTAAGGAGACTGGTTTCTGAAAGCTCATTGACTATGTTTGTCTATATGGAAAATGTATAATGAGATTTTTCAAAAGCTTCTAGAAACTTACATATTTTTCACGCTTTAGAATGGTTTCTAAAGGCTTTAACTGAGTGTACAGCATAGATTTCGAGTTGTACAATTGATTGGTATCATTTAAATTAATTGTACAGGTCTCTGGACGAATCTGCCGCTAGAGAATTTGACTTTTCAGTGCATTTCAGTGCATTACAATGGGTAGAATTTGATGCTGAATATTGTGCAGTTATCGGTTCTTGTTGTACACATTCTCAAGAAAATATCAGGCTAAATTTCTAAAATTTACTGCTAACTTCAATAAATAAATTTTTTGCTATTGAGTAGTCCCAAAGCCTTCCATGAATGCTTCTTGTTTTGAACCAAAAATATCCGATATATTCGATTATGTTTAGTCGATGATGTAGACGATGTTAGTCGTTCCAACGCATATAATGCTCCTTTACACAGATCCACATCAGTGCGATCACAAAGCGTTAATTTTCGGTTTCCTACTATGTCATTATACAAGCAACTGCAAGTCAAATACGACGATTATCTGTCTTGTTCGTACATCGAAGTGGTGGCTGATTACGGTCAATTCATTGACATGCAACCTACACAACATCAAATTTGTTTCATGTACAAATTTCAAGCGGCTTTGTCACACAGGAATGTGATCCGCACATTAACTACATGATCAAAATATACGGATAAAAAAAATTTATTCTATGACTCGAGTTGATTAACATCATAAGTGAATGGTTCTATGTAGTTCTTCCTTGTGTTACTGTGATCGAACTGGTACATGCGATGAGCAAGCAGCCGTCTATACATGGGATTATATAAAACTCTATTCAATGTCTGAATTTTTCGTCGGATGTCCACTTGTTGAATCAACATTGCAATTATCGCTCGAATGTTTATTTAATATCTGACCAAGAAGATCTGAGTTAGAACTATATCAAACTATCTGTAAATCATGCAGCATATCAGACATATGAACACTTTTGAAGCGAAAAATTGATAAGAAGTAAAAAAGACTTCTACTGAAATATGTACATTCTACACATCATGGCAAAGATTAGTTGAACTTTCATTAAAATTCCTAATCTTAACCAACAATTTTAAACTGAACAAATTTCAGTGTTAATAGACAGCTATTCTAAAACAAAACGAATTCTAGACATAACGAATAGAAAAGAGAAAACGAGCACATTCATCAATTAGGATAGAGAAAAAGAATTTTCAAATAGTACAGAGATTCGTGAGACACACTGAGAGAACGAACAGAAATATAAAGAATTAGTTTAATTATAAGCTAAAGTTTCTTTTTTGATCTTGTATTTTGTGAATGACGATATTCGAAAATTACATATATCATCAGAGTTGAAGGTATGTCCAGTCATCTTCATCAACTTCATCTTCTTGTCCTTCCTCTTCCGCTTCGTCATTTAATTCAACTTTTTCGATTTTCTCCCGTGAGTTACTTGACATTTTTGATGCTCGTGATTGTGTAGTTTGTGAATTACGTTGAATTGATACTGCTCCCTCTTTTGTTTGTAAATCCAATTCATCAAAATCAGATTTTAACCAATCTAACATATCATTAAAAACCACTGCACCACTACCATTACCATTCGTTGTAGCTTCTGGACCTAGAAAACAACCAGTTCAACGTTGGATAAACAAATATAACTGTAGGTTCAAATATCCAAAGACTTATAGAAAAAATATTTTATGAATAAATTGTCAAAAAATGCCTACATGCATTTTACCATGAATAAAATGATGAAATTTTTTTTCTTCAAAGAAATAGCTGAAATCGCTAAGCAGTTAGTATTTTCTTACCATCTCTTAATTCTATTGCTTCTGATTGAGCAATCAAATCATTTAAATCGTCTTCTTCATATTCTTGATCATATTGTTGATGTATTTTATAATGTTGTTTCATTCGAGATGCACTTGGTATATATTGTTTACATATAGTACATATACGCTTTTTTATTTCTTTTTTGACTGATGAACAGCAAAAATCAAATGGTAACATATCGTTTTTTGTATGATTAATGACAATACCATGGAACTGAATACGTTGAAATAGAGAACCATAAAATTGACCTGGAATAAAGTTGAAAAGATTATATAACACTGTGACTCGATAAAACACTATTTTGTACTTACCTTTTTGATAGTCTTTTTCAGCCATTTGTATTCCTCTTGGTGTTCGTTCAAATGGGACAGGTGGTGGCAAAAATCGATGTGGAAAAACTTGAATATAATTTGAACGCCATACACCACAACATATTGGATTATTACAACGAATAATTTGTATCGTATATTGTGTTTGAAGGACATGTGTCGCACACCAATACTCGTCAATATCATATTTTGGATATTCACCTCGAAAGTTAGATTTTGTATCATCATCATCCGCATGATATTGAGCACGTACACGACATTTTTCTTGATAATATTCATCCGACGCATGTATACGAAATTCATGACCTTCTTCAGCTTCTTCTTCAGCGCATATTCTACCAGAAAAAATCAAAAATCATTGATCTGAGAATGAAACGTATTCAAAGAAATTTATAGATTGGTAAAACTCTTTCAAAGGAGACAATAATTAGATCTCTACTACTGTATAGTATTTTTTGACATTTGTATCTGTATTGCTCACACATGATTAAGTACTTACGTTCTTAAAAGACTATCCATAACCATCGTAATATCAACTTGTCTTTTCTCTTCTTCTGTTGTTGCTGGTGGTTCCATATACTCTGCTATTACTGGATATTCATCAATAATTGAACCAGACCAAACTTCAGCTAAAACTTCACCGGCTTTTTTAAAGTTTGCTTTTTCTAATTCTTGGTTTATGGTCACGCCACTATCATTTAAATGTGATCCATAATGGTCATGTGGTAATATGAGACCAGCTAAATCATGCGACAATGGCGCCATTCGACGTTCAACAACATTATAGGCTGATTGACCCGGTGCATGTGTCAAAATAAATAGAGCGTCCAAATTATATTTACGAAATTTTCGAATAGCAGCAATTAATGTTTTAGGAAATCGTGGATTTTCATCTGGGCCACCATCCACTGTGATGATAACCTTCAAAAAAGATCAATAATTAATTATATTCATAATCTTTGTGGATTTTACAATGAATCTACTTACAATTGGTTTAACATCACCATTATGATCACGTGCTACTTTTTCGAATTCTTTTAATCGTACAAGTGTATCGAAATCTTTGGCATGCGATTGTGCGTCCGATCTATCATGTTTAGCTGAGCGAACAGCAATGTAAGTGGGACCTGAATAACCGACTTCACCTTCAGCACCCAACATACATGCAGCATAAACGGATGGTGTCAGCTGATGTCTCGGTGCAACTGTCCAGTCGTGATCAGGCAATCGAACAGCATAATCCAAATGCATTAACATTGGTGCTTGAATTTTGGCAGCTGGTAAACCGATGGGTACTTTACATTTGTCATCTTGTGACAAGAAAAATATGCAGTTGTTACCGAATATACCGGCTAAATCTTTGATATAACGGATTGTAGCTGTGGCAAAATGACCATCTTCATGTTTACCTACAAAGAGAGAAAAAGATCGTGTTTTTTATTGACATCTTTATGTATAATAAAGACATATTTACCATGTTCATCATTTTGTGCACGACGTAAACGGACAGGTACGGTACGAACATGTCGACGACCATCAATAGAACTAGCACGGTGTGGCAGAAGTCTAAAAAGACGGATGTTATATTTATGATAGTGCGTTACACAAGGAAAAAAACTAAAATGTTTGCATCTTTGGAAATATTTTTTAAAGTATAATTAATTTTTCAAAGTCTAGAAAGTGTTTAGTGTACCTACCGATAGTATAATGTAGTTCGTTTAATATCGTAGCCTCGCTGCTTAATTTTCTCTCTCAAATCGTCTAGTGTTAAGCATGGTCGAATAGTTTCTGAGCGACGACGATCATCCGATGCACCACCCACTTTAGCTATTTCTTCAATAATTGATAACAGATCTGGACATTGATCTTCAATAGGTGGTCTGCCTACTTGACCCCGATAAATTTTTCCCAATTCTTTTGCCAAATCCGGATTTGATTCACATAATTGTTCAACTTTTTTCTTTCGCTTATCACGATATTTATTTGATGCACGCTGTTTTGATTGTAAACGTTTGAGTTCTTGTGCTTTTTTCTTACGTGCTTGAACGAGTTTTTTTAATTGTTTTGCATTATCAGCTGTTGATAAACCCATATTTTTCACTTGAACTAATGATGCTATACGCTCATTAATATCATTTAATTCACGTAATGCTAATTCTTGTGCAGGCGCTTTAGTTTTTTGATGTTTTGAATAGGGTGTATAAGAGGCAGCTTGATTTGATGTACCATTTGGCCCTGGCCGAAGAGTTGATGGAAGAGTGATTGGTATACTTTTTTCAACATTATTCATTTCATCATCGGATACATCGGATAGTGTACGTTTAGTACTCTTCTTCTTTTTCGCTTTTTTTGGTTTGGGTTTTGGTTCCACTTCAGGTAAACCGGCTGCACCCGAACGGTTATATATTTCCAAATATTCTTCGATTTTTTCCTTGACCAATTCCTCATTTTTCTTTAAAGCATTCCACTCCGTTTGAGCACTGTGATGAGATATCTAGATAAAGAAAATTGTCGTATGCGCATATCTAGGCAAAATAACTTTTTCAGATTACAAACTTGTCTTTTATCAGTAGCTAAAACTTTCAACGTTCATATCTATAAGAGCTAAATTCTTTTTTCCTCTTTTCCTTCAGGAGAAATGAATTATCTAAAACATCAGTGCCTTCTACGAAGCGCAAAATGAACAAAATAAGTACAACGAATTTTGACACCGCCGAACATTTTAGAAGCTTCGCTCATAATTTTTTGGTATTTTTTAACTCTAGTCAGCCGACTTTTTATCAAAGTAGAAAATTGATCTATTTAATTTCAAGCCGACTGTTAGCGTCACAATAAAAGTGTACAGAACGGAAAAAGTCTCTGACTGATCGAAAGCTTTTTGAAAAACTTCTGGTGACTTTTTCGGAGATCTCACATAATAATCACAGTCCCCAGAAGAAACATTCTGCAGAAATCTCATTAACTTAAATTTTGCGTCAGGCGTATGGTGAATTATAAATTTTGACCAGAAAACGTATGACTCTGGGTAACAATGGTGTCCAAACTTCTCAAAACACGAAATACAAAATCTTTCATTACGAAATGTGAAATTGAAGTTTCACATAGATACCAAAGTGGCTAGATTTTAATGCTTCATCTATCTTTACTTTGTGGACTTTTGAAATTAGTAGGTCGTCAGATAATGCACTGAAAAGCCAGAAATTTAGTGCACTGGGGATACTGCATGGAAACGACGTCAGATATAGTTGATTTCTATGACTTTATTATAATATCAATTGGCTCATTTTTTCAGCCAGTAGTCAGATGCATAAACGGCCTACTAAAGGAGATCAAAACTAGACATCTATAAATCTCTACTATCAACGTGAAATTTGGAAATTTTACGATGATAGAAATTTATGGATAAAATTTAGGATAGGTCTATTCACCCGGTGGCAGTAAAGAGCTACTGCCAGCCCAAAATGCACTTCTACACTGCACAGATATGTTATACACAGAAGACCATCATCTGCACATAACATGTAGAGATGTTAGCCGATAGGCTTTTTGTTGTCATCCGCATGAAGAACTCAAAAGAAATTTCCAACCGGCGGCGGGCGTAGAGTTTATTTCCTAGAAATTTCGACGTTCGGCCACAGCACAAGGGGCCACCCTATCTACCCGTAGCCACCTCTCATAGACCATAAAAGTCAAAATTAATTCAATATAACACTTAGAATAACGCATTTATGCAGTGTATAAGTGCATTTTGGTCTACCATTAGTTCTTTGCTGCCAGTTTTATGGGGTGTCAATAGCTCCTTGTTAACACCCCAGGACTGTCAATAGCCATTCCGTAAAACATATGGATGCTTAGTTTTGACCAAAGAAGAAACCACTTGATTAAGAAAATATTTTAGGGATAAATTCTCTGCTTGAGGTCCAGTCTTTCAGACATAATGTGGGCAAAATTTAACATTTTGCATTGAGGACAGTGTTATCCTATTATGCTTTTTAGGCTTGGCGCTCCGACTGTATAATTCATAGTTATCAGGTAATAACAGTGTTTTTAATAGAAAATTTTTGTTATGATAATTTTTTCCAGTATGAAATGAACGTTACAGTGGAACTTTTACAGTTTGAATTTACAGTTCAATCGAAATTCACTTCACAATCAAATTTACAGCGCTTTAAAGACATCATATGATAGAATCAATAAAGCCAAGGTGGATAACTTTTAGTTTTCTGTTTAGTTCTCTAAAAGGAAGAAAATTATTCATCTATCGCGTATCAATTGCTAGCACTTTTTAAATATGTTTTATATACGTAATTAAAGAAAACTCAAATAAAACTACGCTATTAGTAGGGCTATCGAACTTGGTGGTAGTGATCCCACTACTAGATTACCCTACGTGGTAAATCAATATTGCTTTATTAATAAATAGATAATAAAATAAAATACTCACACAACGAGATACGTCCGGATGCCCTTTCATGTAAGCATCAACAAACGATCGGTAAAGACAGTACCGTGGCGCTTTATTAGCCATTGTGATTAAATTATATATTAAATTGTTAATTAAAATTAAATAAAAAACAAACGTTTTCTTTACTGTTGGTGACTACTTGTTGAGCAAAATGGATATGTCCACAATACTCGTGACCTGACCGCGATCGGTCATGAGATAAAGAAGCCATATTTGCCTACACTCAGCTGATTTTTTTGGTTGGTTGAAAAAACTGATTAATCAAGACATTTGTCAAGGAGATGTCGCTGCAATAAAGAAAAGCCGTCATATGAGTAAAACTGCAGATTACATTACTATAACTGTTGCAAAATGAGTAGGTAAGACGTACTTCTATACGTAGCTCTTCTCTCTGTATTAGAAAGATCAGACAGGAACGCCCTCTTCAACTTAACAGTTTAAAATCTTGCGCTTTAGTCTCCTTTCTGTAAATTAGACCAGAGTCAAGACTTTTTCAGTCTCAGTCAAGTCTCAGTCTCGAAAAAAAACCATCAGTCGTGACTTACTCTCAGTCATGACTTATACTTCTCCATTTTTCTTTCTTTTTTATTCTGATCGTAGTATTTAGCAACAGTATTAATATTTAACAAAAAAAAGAAGGCGTAGAAACATTTCTAATATCTTAATCGAAAAATTTAAAGTTACATTTTAACAGTGTAAGAGTGGAAAGAGTATTTGTTGTCGGTCTAGAATAGGTCTAAAATGACAAAAAATACTCTTTCCACAATGTGGACGCATTAAGAAACCACTCTGCGGGAAAACACCTTCTACAGGCCCACTTGTAGCTGGTACACAAAACATTTTTTTATCGCCAAGGCATTCAGCAGTGGATAATACGATGATTTTTATCTATTTTTACTATACATGATATGTATATCTCTTTATTCACTATATATAGTTATTCACTTTTTGTTGCTATTATTCTTTTTGATAGCATCTAGACTTTTCTTTTCATGTCATCTTCCTTTTGGTTTAGTCTGAATACTCAAGAACATCGAGTTTTACTGAGTGCAAAATTTTTACATAATTTTTATACATTTAATAGTTATAGACTTGTATGATATTTTAATCAGCCGATTTAATCCAGGTGTGTATGAGTTTAAACTTTTAAGTTTCAACTCGCACAGTCATACTACACATGCCACAGATTAAAACAAAAGCTATCGTCTACTCGAGGCTGTTGAAAACTTAATTTAAAAATTTCCTTCATTGAAGAACACTTGTACAACTTTTCAATTCTTCATCCAATAATAAACAAGACAAAGAGTAGAAACACTGAAATATGATGCATTAATATCTGATATACAAAAAGTTTTAATAGAATAGATTTTTCTATAGTTGAGTTTTTCTTGCGATTCGATTCTCTACTTCTGACTTACTTTTCATCGATCACTGCAGTAGTTATAAATTTTCTCTAATATGTGTAATGAAATATAGAAGATCACAAAGATATCGACATTTTTTTAACAAAATAGCGACAAAAAAATTTCTATAAGAAAATAATATTAGTTTCGAAATTTTTTTTAAACTTTTGATAGTATTCCTCGCCAAAAATAGCAAATCTTCTGGGGTATTGAGTGTGCTGAATACGAAAAAGCACTTTTCCTTTTCCTTTTTTTCTTTTTAATTTAGAAATCAATTATAGTTTCTGCCTTACATTTCATCTGGTTAATGATATCCATACCCTAGTGAGGTAGCCGCATCTCGGTTATACTTTTTTCTTGCATTTTGTCTATATAGACTAGTGTGGGGCGAATCAAGAACAATTTTTCGATCTTGTCAGTATTTATTGAATACCTTTAATTTATTTTAAAGTTCTTGTTGCGTACGTTGGCAGTCATATAGGTAAGGTTCTCATTGATATACTTTCGAAAAATTGGCTCACTATCCTTCGAAATATGGATCTTCTAGCGGTTTTACTGGTTCATCCTACAGCTTTTCTTGATCGGCACCTTTTGGGACGAGTCAAGAAAACAGAGTTGTGAGTGAGGGCTGTGTGTGAGAAAATGAGTAGGGCGAATCAAGAATACTCGTTAAAATGAATAGTAATATTTTTCTTTTATAAAATTCAATTATCTTAGAGCTAATCAGTATACTGTCAAAAAAAAGTGTCTTGATAAACCACTCAGCTGGCAAAAAGGTCACATCACCCATGGACAAATCATGTAGTCACATTCAAGGCAACGAAAATGCATCGAGACTGTTGTTAGACACAGAATTCTCCTGATCCTGAAAAGTGTCCTTCATCTTACTGATAAAAAATGAGGTCGTCTTTAACGCACCTGACGGGCATTTTTTTTCAAAAAAAAAATGCATCGCTTTTTTCACAGTGTACTAATTGGGTAAATTTTCATATCACTGGATTTCTTATCGTCTCTGGAACACGTTGAAAACACACTTCAAGGTGTTTGATAAAAAGGATCTGAGATCCGTTTACGCTTTAAAACAGAGTAAAAAAATAATATTCTTGATTCACCCGAATAACGGCGTTTCAAGAATCATGTAGAGAGGCATGGAATGAATCAAGAATTCTGGTGAAGAGCGCCCAAAACCTCTACTTCTAGAAAACCAATTCTCAAAACCATTTATGAAGAAAAATAAAAAGTTTTGTGCCAAACAACTCTTCAGTGTTTATAGATTATGGTGATATCATTTGCACAGAACATCTATCACAAGAAAGAGTGCCGCCCATGTCGAGCTTTTTTAAAACACTGGCGGTTCAGCAAATACCGTCAGTATAACGTATTAGACCGCGGTCTAAGAAAATACCGCATGGTAACCGTTTTTATCCATTCACCACTGTATTTTGCACCCATGAAGATATAAAAGAAACACAGAAAAAGTCGAGAAATTTGATTCCGTCTTCAGATTAAACTTTTCTTTTAGATCATATCGGACTCATCGAAGTTTGAACTTCGACTCAAGTCAAATTTCTCTCAATCGGAAGCCTGACTGCGCTCACAAGTGCTCAACAACTAAAAGAAGAACGTTGAAAATTAGTTTCGAATTCCTGTTCTACATGTTCATAATGACAAAATACCAGACGTTATCGCTGGTTATACTGACGGTATACAGTGACATATCGCGTGGTTACCGTTGGTATACAGGGCGGTATTTTCGTTTACTATGACGATATACCTCCCGGTAACCGTCGGTATTTTGCCGGTGTTAAGCACATGGGCATGTACATCTTACTGATTGAGCAACAGAAACTGTTATGTAATAACACAATATAAAACTAGAATTTTATACTTTACATGAAGCCACTATGAAAAAAATAAAAATGAGTAACCAGGTATTTTGACTGACTAATATCAGATGTCTAAACCATATAGTTTAGTACTATTCAATAAACTTGTAGAAGATCACGACTGGCCGTTTTGCATAATTCACAAACAAATGTCAATAGTAATTGAGCAAGTTGATGACAAGAAAAACAAATAACGGCATTACAAGTGGCACAACTATAATCAGGAGCGCCTCGATACCTCGGAGATAGGGGTTGTGGGGCGAAGTCAGTTTCGGAATAAATTTGTATGCTTTTAAAAACTGGAGTAAAACTAAAACAGAAAAGATAAATATTCTATGCAGCTTTCTTCTAAAGCAAGACTAAATTTCCTTCTATTTACAGTGGCGACAAAAATTTTCCATACACCCCACTCCTCTTTTTCTTTTGATCATAACTCGATAAAGAAAAACGTTTTGACAAGCGGTTTGCACCCAAAATATCCTCCACTTTCTCTAGTATATTTGTAGATAAAAGAAATTAAAAATATTGGTTGATGCTCTTTGTAAGCCCATTAGACAAAGTGAGCGTTTTCCGGTCGGCAAAAACTTTCCATACAGTTGATAAAAATCTTTTTTTACGCTGTGTAAACACTGACAAAATATGAAAACTACATCAACGGATAGAAGAGAGCATGGGCCACATTTTGGTAAAAAAATAATTTTGAAAAGCTTTTTTCTTAGGGCTTTTTCCATTCGAAAGAGCGCCCAAAACTGAGTAAGATAAATATAGTGTGGAAGAATGAAAGAATTTGACCCATATTTTAATGTTTTGGATCTTAGGGCTATTTTTCAAATATCTTTTCTGCATGGGAGGGTAAACATTTTTTGGATATCTTTGCGTCATCATGTATTCAAGTAGTTGCTGTATAGGGGTATGAAAATGAAAATTTGGATTTTTTAACTTCAGAGGAGAAAACGGGTTTCTGAACATTAAAATCCCCAACTTTCCACCTATACAAAAGATTTTCCATAAAAAACTAACTTCATATGCGTGCTCAGCGTCAGAAACTGCGTTTACTGATATGTCACTCAATGCTTTCGAGAACGTTCCCATACGCAAAAATGCCTTTCTTTCCCCATCAGATATTTAGTGGGTGAAACGCTTCCAGCTGTTACGTTTAGATGTAAGTAAAAGTTTGCTAAACTTCGACTGAATATCAGTAAACGCAGTTTTTGACGCTGACTACGCATGTGAAGTTAGTTTTTTATGGAAAATCTTTTGTATAGGTGGAAAGTTGGGGATTTTAATGTTCAGAAACCCGTTTTCTCCTCTGAAGTTAAAAAATCCAAATTTTCATTTTCATACCCCTATACAGCAACTACTTGAATACATGATGACGCAAAGATATCCAAAAAATGTTTACCCTCCCATGCAGAAAAGATATTTGAAAAATAGCCCTAAGATCCAAAACATTAAAATATGGGTCAAATTCTTTCATTCTTCCACACTATATTTATCTTACTCAGTTTTGGGCGCTCTTTCAAATGGCTTAATCAGAATGTTTTTTCACACACTCATTCATGAGATTCAGCCGTCGCACTGAAGAGTATTGCACTTTTGGCTTAAAGTCGCGTTTCCACCCTAAGGAAAAAGCTTTTCAAAATTATTTTTTTACCAAAATGTGGCCCACGCTCTCTTCTATCCATTGGTGTAGTTTTCATATTTTGTCAGTGCTTATACAGCGTAAAAGAAAATTTTTATCAACTGTAAGATTTACTTCAACACAAAGCCTTATAATATAAAAATACATTTACTAAAGCCATGATACAATCTATTGTACTTATCTTATCTTATTAATGTACATAATAGATTTTATTTTCTATTAAACACAGAAAGAGAAAAAATAAATGCTTTACTGTATGGGAATCTATGTCTTACTCTGAAAATAGAAATAAACTCCTAACTACGAAACTGAGAGTAAGCCTTTTACTCTCAAAATGGGAATAAATATCTTACTCCAAAATTGAGAGTAAACGCCTTACTCTGAAAATGAAAATAAGCCGCTTTACTTCAAAACTGAGAGTAAGCTTTTTATACTCTAAAAATGAAAGTAATTGTCTTACTCTGAAAATACGGGTAGAAGCTTTACTCCGTGGGATATTCTCATAAGTCAAAGACCTAATTTTCAGAGTAAGAAAATCCTAATTTAGGCGTAAATTTTTTCAAAAAGCAGGGGGATCCCCCCCGCCTCATCGGGATGCCCCTGACTATAATACGTTGTCAAATAGGGTTGTATTTACTTCATGCAACAACAACATATATATTGGGCTATTCACCACAAGCTGATGTTGAAATATTGACGAAACTATGCGTTTCACCTGAAAACGGTGGATATATGATGATGAATGATTTGAAAATGAACCTGGAGGCAGATATGAATTATATATTGAAAATGATGTCGATTGTAGCGGAGAAATGGATGAAAATAAAGGAGAGATGACTGGTTGAACTACAGGGGCACGTTCACTCGATAAGTTTGAACTATGTTTCGGTAAAAGTTTGACGTTACACGTGTTACATCGACTTCAAGCTAAAGTTACAGCGCGAGAACAGAGAAAAATAAAAGCAGTTTATAAACCGTCAAAGAAAAAGATGGTTAGAAAACACCGCTAGATCCATCTTTTGAGGCAATTTTTCGAAGTATATCAATGAGAACCTTACCTATATGACTGCCAACGTACGCAAAAAGATCTTTAAAATAAATTGAAGGTATTCAATAAATACTGACAAGGTCGAAAAAAGAGATAATTCAAGGTGTAATAATCAATTATAGCTCGTTACATTGTGTTAGCCACTATCATTGTTTGTTGTAAAAAAATTACACTATTTAGCTGCATTTATTGTTCTCTTTTCTTTTCTTATTTAACATAATAATGATTCAAACAGCATCCACTGAAAAAAGAAACAAAACTACAGCGCTTAACATATATACAGAAAGAAAGAAAAAAAATAGAAGACTATAGTTGTATGTATCAATCGGCGCATGAATAATAATATATGAAAGTGTATAAAAAATTATTCCGGATTTTTATGTCCATGATAAATAAGAAAAAAAAACAGCGAAAATGAAGTATATATACCAAAGAAGCACAGCCCTACTATTAGTTTTTAGAAAATGAATGTTTGATCGATACAGACTAATAGTAAATCAAGTAAAAACAAAACCATGCATTTTACGTATTTTTTATTCGTCTGTTTATTTTACATCTAGTTTTGGCTTTATTTGTCAAGCTCACTGGTGTATTATTTTTTTTCTTACAGAAAAAGATCGTTTTTGATCTTCACCCGATACCGAAAGGTAATGGGATCTATCTATCTATCTTTCTACTTTTTTTTCTTTTATTACATCTTGTACGTTTTTCATTTATCCGTCAAAAAGATGAAATAAATTGAGAATTTCGGACTATATACAACGTGGTTCTTCCTTTAACTCAAACATTGATACTTCGTTTCAAGGAAATAAAACGAAATAGAAAACACAAAAAATACGGAAGAAAAAAACGAGGATTTCATTCATAATCCATATATTCACAAACATGAAGACTTTTTAGTTAACACTTTATATGACTGTAAAAAATTTTTCACTCATCTTTCTACAAAGATTTTAAAGATTAAAAATATTTATTTGGAAACAATTGGTTCTAAGTTGATAAATACAGTTTAAGCATAGATTATTAAAATTGTAAATGTCAATGTGCAATACAAATTTATTCTTTCATCATTCCTGTTCTGATCATTATTGTGTAGCATACATATCAAACTTATCATTTCAGTATTAAACTCTATTTGCTTTTTACAGATTTTAAAGAGTATCTATCTAAATGGAACTTTCCGGATCGAAAAATCTAGAAGAACAGACACCATTACGAGAAGGAAATGGTCCTCATCGTTATATTCCAGCTGGTGTTGGTGTTGCATTTGGTTCTATACATTTTCTTATAACAATATTGATTGCTTCAGTTATTCCAATTTTACAACTGATTATTGGGTGGTATTACAAAGATCAATGTAAAATTAATCAAAACATTCCAACATATCTGATTGTCTCTGGAATCTGTGGTTTGATATTGGTCGTTTTGTGTATTTTAATGGCATTAACATTTTTATGTTTTCTAAATAATTCCGTAGTTATGTCTATAATAGCTTCATGTGGCATTTGTATGAATTTGATGGCTACGACGGTACTAAGTATATTCATATTTATATGGTTTATTATTGGATGTGTATGGATATTTAGTGTAAGAAGCAAAGTTGATTTTTATGATAAGAATTCGAAATATTATTGTCAGCGCACATTGTATCTATTTGCATTTTGGTTATTAATTGCAACATTTATCATGATGGGAATCTCGTGTTGTATCAACTGTTTTAAATCACGAAAAACGGAAACACAACGAATACCATAATCATTATGATTATGGATCGAGACAATCATTTAACAGACCTGTTATTTTAGCATAATCTATTTTTTCTGTAACGGTTATTAAATATATTTACCTTTCAGCTTTTATTTTGTCAATCATGAACGATCGTAGACTTTAACAAAAAAGAAATGATGAGACAAAATGAGTACAATTTGAGTCTAATTTCAGTAATAAAAGGATCGTTATGAATGTCAAACTGAATATGTTTGAGACTCATCGACATAAAAACGGTTTGAGCTTCAAATGAAAAGCATATATAATTCCCCTTTAATAGGAAGATATCCTATCGACTGCATGTGCAAGCTGAAAAGAATTGACAAATATTTGTCTTATCGATGATCGCATAGAAAGCTGTCTTAAAATCGTTACTTATTGAAACTAGAAACTTTCAAACTCAAACGTATTTCCTCTCATCATAAATCTTACACTGTTTCTCAGATGTGCTGTACTCAAATTATATCCCAAACCAGAGGACACCGTTAAAATGTCGTGCTATAACTGTATGTAGGCACTTCTGCAAATATCATACACGGAGACACATGGAATATGACAACATCTTACTGCATGGTCTTACAAGGTCTAGTAAGATCATGTGGACTCTTTTTATCATAAAATCTAAGACCGGACTTTTTAAGATTGTTTAATATTTTCCATCGACAGTCGTAAGTGTCTTATAAGATTTTCATAAGAGGTTCGCAAGAAATTCATAAGAAATACCAAAAATTCTTATGTTATTCTTATTTACTGGAAGGCAGCTTATGAGTTGGTTTAACTGATTTTTGTTATGATTAAGTTGCTTCTATTGGCTGAAAAACTTTATAAGAATTTTTGGTATTTCTTATGAATTTTTTAGGAACCTCTTATGAAAATCTCATAAGATTCTTATAAGACACATACGACTGTGGACGGGAAATCTTAAACAATCTTATATAAGAAACTGATAAGATTCAGATAAGAAACTTGTAAGACACTGGTAAGCGACTTAGACGTTTCTGGTAAGATTCTTATATCGATGTCTAGGGAAGCGACTACCATTTGCACACGGTGGTCAATATGGGATCTGAGCACGAAACGAAGGTACGCTTTTTATGCCAATTAATAAGTGCAATTTGTTCTTAAAGCCCTTCTCGACTACCATGGCTTTCCGACTTTTTCTTCGAGCCGTGGTAGTGTTATACGATGCTGACGAATGTGCGTCCAAAGTTAAAAGTGAACTACAGCGATAAACGCTATCGCATCTCTCCATGCTCTCCAAGAACAAAACAATTTTTTTTCATAGAAATAAATAAATTCACAGGCATACTGCAGATGAGGATTCGGTGCAATATAAGATTTACTTGTCTTGTATTTCTTATTTGAAGAGTAAAATTATTCTTCTGTGTTTATGTAAAAGAAAAGAATCACGAAATGAAATGTAGGATAAAACAAGAAAAATAAAAGCAGCAGCTTTGATATGTCAATTGACAGTACAGCAATAGTGTTTTAAAGTTTCAATTTGGTCCTTCGAAGAAAGCTTCGTTATTTTCACCTGTCTGTCTATCGAATATCTCCTGTGTTCTTTTACACCAAAACAAATTCCTTTCTTCAAAACAATCAGCTTAGGAAAGTTATGCTTATTTCATAGGACAAAATATAAGAAATTTAAATTTCTCAAAAAAGAACACAACACCGAGATCGTTTTTATTTTATTCACAATATTTCCACCTTAACTGGTGGAAGTGATAAGAACATATCTCAAAAAGAAATGGACTTTGTTCGAAAATAAAGTCAAAGAAGCGCAATTGTCATATTGTTTCAAGAAAATCTCTTTTGTCACCAACGTACGAATAAAAATGGAAGTGAAAGATGGGTTTGTACAGTAAATGAATGTTTTTGTTCAATTGTTTTAAAAAACGATAAAATAATGTGTTAAATGGTATCCATGAACATGAAAGTACATAATATATGATGACCATGTAATGTGGAAATAATTTCTCAGATAGTCAATAGAGAACTCTTATATATAACTATTGAATAATAGACCTTAATACTGCACTCTTGCAAAACAGTACGTTTCAACGCACGTGTCAAATTGTATCTCAATTGAGAAACGAATATTTTCACAGAAATATTGGTTTCTTAACTGAGATACCTGATTAAAATATGGATTCTATCTCACGGGGGAACCTCCCGAGATGATAAATCGCTTTTTGATCGACATCTAGTGGGTTATAGGTTATCGACCATGCTGATTCCGAATATGACCATGGGGCTTCTCCATAGCTCTTCGAAGATCCAGTCTTCTGGAAAAACAGTTTTTCAGAAACCCCAAAGAATAACCCAAGCCTTTCTTAACAATTTAGGATTGTAGCGCGCAAATTTCTGATTAAAATGAAACTTTCCCCAGCTCTACACGATCTTTCTTTGCAGAGTTATAGAATTTATAAGAAGAGCCCTAAATTGTTCATTGCCAGATCAAAGCTACAGAAATAAGAAGGAAAAAATTAATTTAGAACTCTTCTTACAAATTCTATAACTCTGCAAAGAAAGGTCGTGTAAAGCTGGGGAACGCTTCATTTTGATCAAAAATTTGCGCGCTACAATCCTAAATTGTTAAGAAAGGCTTGAGTTATTCTTTGGGGTTTCTGAAAAACTGTTTTTCCAGAAGACTGGATCTTCGAAGAGGCGATTTACCACCTCGGGAGGTTCATTCGTCAGTTGAGTCCTAACCCAGTTTAAATTTGAAATTTCTCCTTTTTCGTGTGTTATCTATCTATGATTGTTCTAAATTCTGCATGTTTACTAATAAATTTTTATACCAACAAACTGATCAGAATCTTCTAGGACGGTAGCTATGTATGAAAAGAAAGCCACGTTCTTAAAGTAAATGGTAAACCATGAAGATTTAAGTTCTTCAGCCGATATTTGTGTAAAATAGATGTAAAACAAGGCGAAGAAAAAAATTTTTGTTCTCGAAAGTACAAAAATTATGTTCATCAACTTTTTGATAGTTCTTAAAAAGTAAGTTCTTCAAAGAAGAATTTCTATCCTATAGAGATCAAAATTTTGAGGAACAACACTTTTGTTCTCCAGAAAGTGTGATCTTCATCAATGTTATGTAATGCTGAAGGGACCTGTATGGAAACATCTATGTCAGGATTTTTCTCTCTAGGGACGATGTGCTCTATTACATGAGTCACTGAAAGTACCCTGTTTTCTTTTCATTTTCCGTTTTGTTTTGCGAGTGCATGTCTATATTATATCAATGAAGGGGTCATTTTCCCTGAATGTGAACCCAACCAGTCTTCCGAGGGGTCTTTCGAACGCGCGTTTTACGTGTTCCGATGTGCCTCGAACGCTTATTTCGAGGGATCGAAGTGCCATTTTCCGAGGGGTCGAGCCCTCGTCGAGGGGGTTTAGTTCAAGTGCTCGTAACCTATCGGAATTTTTTATTTTCGATCTCTCGAAATGACCTTTTAGATGGGTTCTAAACGCCATCTAAACGCTCGAAAACTGTGGAGAAAAAAAAACGAAGCGGCTTATATAGTATGCACTTCAAATCTATTTCCAGCCCTCAGAACCTAACGGAATGGATATCTAAACGAAACAATTACAGTAGATAGGTAGATTCGAACACAGGCACTTGTAAGTTACTTATTACCTTCACTTCAACCAGATGAGCTAAATATGAATTGTGTTCTATAGATAAAAAGAGGCTTTTAAATAGAATATAAAACAGTTCATTATTAGATATTAGTTTTGGGTGTTTAATCTGATTCTTAGA